GGGCGGGGGGGAGGCGGGGGGGGGCTGCCGCTCTGTCGGCTCGGAGGTGGGCTGGGCTGCATTGCCTTGGAGAAGGGCCCTCCCAGTGACCGCAGAGTCAGTGTCACCTGTCGCCCCGGGTACCAGCTAGGGACGCCACAGAGCGCTCCAAACCAGGCTGTCTCACCGGCCCATCCAGTTCTTCCCTCTGCCTCCTGCGGAGTTCCCGGAGCCCCTATGGCTGTGAGCTGCCTCCCCTGCGGGGCCCTCTGCCTGGTGTGGTGACCTGAAACCCCACGCCTCCAACAGCCCCGCAAGCATGGAGCCCTTCCTCAGGAAGCGGCTGGCCTTCCTGTCCTCTTTCTGGGACAAGATCTGGCCGGCTGACGATCCAGATGACAGCGTCACTGTGACCCCGGACTTCGATGCCGACCTAGTGCCACAGCTCCCTGCAGAGTACCCTGCGGAGCCCCGCAGGCTTCCAGGTCCACCCAGCCCCGAGCTAGACGTCGCCAAAGCCCCCACTGAGCCGCTCTGGGACCAGCCGTGAGTACCTTCAAGCCTTGGGCGAGGGCCTGGGAAGCCAGGGTGAGGGCAGGATTTTGAGTCAGAAATAGTGTTCTAGGTTCACTCCTTCGTCCATGCATTCATTCAGGGGCAGTTCATCTAGCTGCTGATGGGCACTGGGCAGATGGCAGATGTGGCGAGTGGCGACGTGCCCTAAGCACTCTGCCAGGGAGTGCAGTCAGGAGGGGTCGGGTCAGGGTAAATCAGCTGGACTGGCCAGGCACCCGTTGGCCATCACTCCAGGACCTCCTCTCCTGCCCTCGACAGGGAGTCAGTGTTCACTGAGTGGTCACTGCTTGGAGGGCAGGGACAGGGTCTGGGTGTACCAGGTGAGATGGGCTCATGCACCAGGAGCCCCAGGGAAAGGCATGGTGAGCGGGGCCATCAGATGCTCCTAGTCCAGCTGCTCCAGTCCTGTGACCACCAGCCTCGGCCTTCTGAGGTCCTTGGTGCCCACACATTCCCCTGGAGGTGTACATGGCAGGTGAAGTCGCAGGAAGGCCTTCTGAGGGTGCCAGGCCCTCCCTGATGCTCCACAATTTGCTCTGAGCCTCAACGGGTCTGGGCAGCCCTTTGGGTGGGGAGGGCTCACAGCTGCCCCTAGGTGGGGGGTGGGGGACAGACCCTGGCAGGGCAGGGTGGCCCTGGAGGGCAGGGCGTGGCTGCTCATATTGACGCTAATGACTGTTTGCCTGGGCTGGAGATGAAAGGGCTGACCACACTCACGGTGTCATCAGCCCCAGACGCTGGCCCCATGCCCTGTGAGAGACCTGGGCACACCCCCGCAGCTCTGGATGTGCCCAGGGTCCAGCATCCCCCCAGACCCCGCTGGTGCCTGGAGACACCCACTTCTCATCCCCACAGCTCAGCCGTGCAGGGAGGGAGCAGGGCCCCTAACACACAACAGTCTTGCTGCCCATGGACCCCTGAAGGCAGGGCCTGGCAACAAAAGGCTCGCAGTAGACAGAGCCGGGCAGCCTCAGGGCTGTACCCCCACCCATAATGAGCTTGTGTGCCTCCCCGAGGTGGCCACCTCAGCAGGTCTCATCTTGGGGAGACCCATGTCCTCCTGGTGACCAGCCCTGGCACTGCCTACTGCTCTTATCGTCAGCTCCCCAGGCCGCAGCATCTGTCCACTGTCACCTTGCTCTCCTTGTCTCAGCGGTGCCCAACCCCCTGGTCCCCAGAGTCGGTTCCTACAGCCCCATCCCCTTAGCTTCCCCAGGGGGTGGGAGCACAGGCCTGTCCCTCCTCCATGCAGGACAGCGCAACTTTGCCCTGTCCCCTTCTCTCTTTCCGGGACTCACACTGAGTCACAGACGCAGCCTCCCAGTCAGTGCTGGTTTCAGAGCCCCCCACTGTTTCTCCCCATCGGGTGGATGAGGGGCTGTGCTCCCAGGGCGTCAGGCCTGCTCTCAAGAGTCCTGAAAGGTGCTCAAGGCTCTAGGGTGGGAAGTTGAAGCAGGATTGGAGCCCCCCACCCTGGACCCTGGGAGGTGGAGACTCGTGGCATGGGGTGAGTCCAGGAGCTTCTCTGTTTTCCTTCCAAGGCTGTCTCTGGCTCTCAGAGTGAGTGTGACTTAGGGGACGGCCACCGGGCTAGGGAGCCCCAGCAGGTCTCCCATGCCCAACATGGGCTCCTTGCGTCTGGGGACCTTCAGAGAGAGCACCGGGAGCTCCCTGCCTCCCAGGCTCAGGGCAGCCATCCCAGCCCAGCTCAACTGAGGGAACTGCTCTGTAGGGTCAGGGCTGGGGGCCGGGAGCGGGGGGAAGGAACCTGATGAACAAGGGGCTATGAGCCTCCTGGCAGCCCCCAGAGCCCCTGCAGTCCCCATACCTCCCACAGTCCCCAAGCCCCCACATCCCTTGCAGTCCCCACTGTCGCCACAGCCCCCACAGTCCCCCAACCCCCACAGCCTCCACAAACCCCAAGCCCCCAAATCCCCTGCAGCCCCCACAGCCCCACACCCCAAGACCTCACAACCCCTGCACCCTTCACACCCCTTGCAGCCCCCACAGCCCCCACACCCTCCACAGCCCCTGCAGCCTCCAAGTCCCCACAGCCCCAGCAGCCCCTACAGCCCCCATACCCTCTACAGCATACCCCCGCAGCCCCTGCAGCCTCCAAGACCCCATACTCCCCTCACACTCCTTGCAGCCCCCACAGCTCCCAAGTCCCCATACCCCCCTGCAGCCCTCACAGGCTTCCTCTCCCGATTTCCTGCCCAGTCGTCCTCCAGCTGCCTTCTCTGGGGCCTTCTGGCTGCTTGAGTCAGCTGCCCCCACTCACCAACTGCCCGGGGCAGTGGGCCGTGCCCAGCCAGGAGTGGTCACGGTCCCGTGTGGCCACGTGGCAGCCCAGCAAGTGCTTCTGGGCAGCTCATCTGGGCCCCTGGGGACCCTACATGGACTCAGCAAAGTCCCTAGTTTGGCAGGTCCAGCCTGTGCTGGGGTTGCATGTTAGCCTGGGCTGGCCCTTTGAAAGCAGGGAATGGGGTCATTCACAGCCGATGGCGAGGGAGTAGATTCGCTGGTAGGGACAAAACACAGAGCCTGAAGAGAGCCGGGTCAACTCAGGCCCTGGCAGCCCTGCCCTCCAATCCCTGGTCTTTTGGGGTTGAGCAGAGGTGTGGGGCTGGCATGGGCGGCCGAGGCAGGCCACACTCTAGGAAAACCCAGCCCACCGGTGCACCTGTCCCTGAGAGCCTGCTGGACACCAGGCCAGGAAGCACTGCCAGCACAGAGTGGGACACATGGCCGGGGCTGAGGAGTGGTGCCTGGCTGGACCTGTGCAGGACCAGGCTGCAAGCTGACCACGCACCCACCCTTCGCAGCTGGTACTTCAGCGGGGTCAGCCGGACACAGGCACAACAGCTGCTCCTGTCCCCACCCAATGCGCCTGGGGCCTTCCTCATCCGGCCCAGCGAGAGCAGTCTCAGGGGCTACTCATTGTCAGGTACTTGGGCGAGCCCTCCTGCCTCTCCCCACTGGCCAGTCACCCTTGAACTCCGACCTCTGAGTGGTTGATCCCAGGGGCTGCTGGCCCCTGACTCACGTCCATCCCCATCAAGAGCCCCACAGCAGACATGCTGGTCATCTCCTGGGCCTGCTCACTCGCTCATTCATTCATTCATCTTACTCACTCATTATCCATTCACTCATTCATCCACTCACTCATTCTTTTATTCATTCACTCATTCATCTATTTTTTTTTTTTGAGTTGGAGTCTCACTCCGTCGCCCAGACTGTAGTGCAGTGGCAGCTCCGGGCCACCGCAGCCTCGACCTGCTCTAGTGATCCTTCCGCCTCAGCCTTCCAAGTAGCTGGAACTACATATGCGAGCTACCACGCCCGGCTGATTTTTTGATTTATTGTAGAGATGAGGTTTCGCTGCCCAGGCGGGTCTCGAACCCGCGGGCTCAGGCAATCCACTCACCTCAGCCTCCGAAATGCGCGGGATTACAAGCTGAGCCACCGAGCCCGGCCATCCATCTATTAATTCATGTATTCACTCATTTATTTATTCATTCATTCACTTATTCATTTGCTCACTTATTAATCTATTCACACATTTATTTATTCACTCATTTGATTATTCACTCATTCACTATTCACTCATTCATGTATTCACTCATTCATTCACTCATTGTTACTTATTTATTCTTCAATTGTTCATTCACTTCAATTGTTCATTCACTGCAAATGTTCATTCACTTCAATTGCTCATTCACTTCTTTCTTCACTTGCTCATTCATTGATTAATCCACTTCTTCCATTCACTTGATCATGGGCTCATTCACTCACATATCTGTTAAGTGTCTATTCTGTGCACACCATGGCAGAAGAGCCTGCCCTGACCTGCTGCTGCCCACACCCTCCTCCTCCACACAGCTGTGCCACCTCGGGGCTCTGGGATAGATCCGAGCCGTGCCCCTCGGGAGGGTTGTGGCCCCACAGGGAGGCTGTCTGCTGTGGTGGGAGTGCTGGCGGGTTGCCTGGGAACGGCTGGGTCTCCATCTCTGCACCCTCTCTAGTCCGGGCCCAGGCCAAAGTCTGCCACTACAGAATCTCGACGGCAGCCGACGGTGGCCTGTACCTGCAGAGGGGGCCGGCCCTTCCGCAGCCTACAGGAGCTGCTGGCATACTACCGGGCCCATGGAAGGCTGAGTCGGAGCCCGCTGCTGCAGCCCTGTGTGCTCCAGGTGGGCCCTTGGGGTGCCCCTCAGGATTAGAGCCCTCAGGGAGTCGGCCCTGTCCAGGCCTGGGGCAGGGCATCCTGAAGGGGAGGCAGTTTCATCTCCACCTCTGAGTCTGGGGCGGCCTGCGGGGGTCCTGGGCTAGGGAGAGGAGAGACCTCAGGGTGTGTCCAGCTCTTGGGGAGCGGCAGGGGGGGTCCAGGGGTGGGTGCTTTGAGGGAAGATGATCTCAAGCTGGGCACCTGGGCTGGAACCACGGAGTTTCCGGGCCACCCCAGCAGAACCTTTCAGTGAGGGCCCAGGGCAGCAATCTGGTTTCTCTGGCCTCATGATGACAGCCCAGCCAGGGGTGATAATGAGAGTTTGTGGACGCATATCCGGCTTGGGCAAAGGTACCACTTAGGTCCCCAGAGCAATTAGATCCTGCAGCCCCGGGCAGGTCTCCTGAGGCCAGCACCTGCCTCCCCTCTGTCCCAGCTGGGCCCTGGCGAGCCTGCTCTGGGGACAGAGGTGCCCGAGGCCCAATGCTGGGACTCTGCCTGGGACGGACCAGGAGCCCACCTGCTGCCTTCCTGCCCTGAGCTCCCTCCCCCCGCAGACGCCCCCAGAGCAGGACAAGTGGGAGAGGCCGCGCTCCGAGTTTACCCTTCACAGGAAGCTGGGCGAAGGCTACTTCGGGGAGGTGTGGGAAGGCCTGTGGCTGGGCTCGGTGCCCGTGGCAATCAAGGTCGTCAAGTCAGGTAAGCCCCGCCCCAGGCCCACACCAGGCCCTGGTCAGCCCTTGCCCTCCCACCCTGGGAGCCCCACTGCGGCATCTGGGCCATCCTGCAGCTGCGCTGTCTCTCGCAGCTGACATGAAGCTCAACGACCTGACCAGGGAGATCCAGACGCTGAAGAGCCTGCGGCACGAGCGGCTCATCCGGCTGCATGCAGTGTGCTCTGCTGGCGACCCGTGCTCATCGTCACTGAGCTAATGCGCAAAGGCAACCTGCGGGCCTATCTGGGCAGTGAGTACCAGGCGATTCTCGTGTCTACCTGAGCAGTGAGTACCAGGTAACCCTTGGGCCTAGCTGGGCAGTGAGTACCGGGTGACCCGCGGACTTACCTGGGGCAGGGAGTAGCAGGTGACCCGTGGGGCTAGCTGGGCAAGGAGAACCTGCCACTGATCAACAGATCCCATTCATGGGGAAGCTACAAGGGCTTAGAAGGGTGCTGGGCCCCGTGGCCAGATAGAGTGGGGGGTCCAGATGCAGACCCCAACCTTGTTGGGCCTCCAGCTGCAGGGTCTGGGTCAGGTCGGAGCCTTGTGGGTCCAGGGCTGAGGCTGGAGTCTGGGGGACATAGCCCCTCTGGGTCCCCAGCATCTGTCTAACAGGACCATGGAACAAGCCACGCCCCAGAGTCCCCCCTCCTCTCTGGCCTTCCTCTGGCCCTGGGCCACTGGGGCCTGGCTGGGGACCAGGGAGCAACACTGAGGGGTTGCTGTGGTGAAGACGGGCTCCCTTCCTGCCTCCCTCGGTGTCCACTGTAGCCTCAATGGGTGGTGCCATCATCACCCGTCCCTAGAGATGAGGAGGCTGAGGCGCAGGGATGGGGCGTGTGTGATGCCTGCCTCGCTGGCTGCTGGCCTCCCAAGCCCCACCCTGTCCCCTGCAGGCCCCGAGGGCCAGGCACTGAACCTGCCGCCACTGCTGGGCTTCGCCTGCCAGGTGGCCGAGGGCATGAGCTACCTAGAGCAGCAGCGGGTCCTGCACCGCGACCTGGCTGCCAGGAATGTGCTAGTGGACGACAGCCTGGCCTGCAAGGTGGCCGACTTTGGCCTGGCCCGGTTGCTCAAGGTCAGCAGGGACTCTAGGTCCTGACCCTTGGGGTGGCAGGGAGGGTAGGGTGGCTGTCCCGCCTCCCCCACCGCTGGCCTCCTCTCGCCCCAGGATGACGTGTACTCCCCAAGCAGTGGCTCCAAGATCCCAGTCAAGTGGACGGCACCCGAGGCTGCCAATTATCGCGTATTCTCCCAGAAGTCGGACGTCTGGTCCTTCGGTGTCCTACTGTACGAGGTCTTCACCTACGGCCAGTGTCCCTATGAAGGTGTGTCGTGAGGCAGCCCGAGGGGGTAGGCACACCCAACTCAAGAGTCACTGGCCCCGGCCCTGAGGCTGCCTGCTGGGGCTGCAGGGTCCAGCCAGAGCAGGTGGTGATGCGGGCGGCAGGGCAGCGGGGCAGCAAGAGGTCTCTGAGTGACCCTGGCAGACTCAAGCGCTCCTGGCTGGCCCCTCCCCAGGAATGACCAACCACGAGACGCTGCAGCAGATCACTCGGGGCTACCGGCTGCCGCGCCCAGCCGCCTGCCCAACAGAGGTGTACACGCTCATGCTGGAGTGCTGGAGGGCCAGCCCTGGGGAGCGGCCGGCCTTCGTGGTACTGCGGGAGAAGCTGCACGCCATCCACCGGCGACTCCAGCCTACCCTGGCATGACCCAAGCCCTGGACACCAGCGGTGATGGAACCACTCCTGCCAGGCATCCCCAGGACCACATGCCATCTACATGGACCCAGATGCTGGTCAGCTGGGGACTGGACAGCCCCTAGCCGTGGGCCTCACCTGCTGACACGCACACTCATGAGCACATGAGGCTTACATGCGCCAACCATGCTCACTGCAGACACATACCCAAATAGTGGAGGGGCTGAGGCCCAGTGTGACCTGTGTCCCTGGCATCTCAAGAGTGACACACGTAGCATAGAAGGGCTGGCTGGAGCCTTGGAAGATGCTGGGCGGAGAAGCCCCCAGCCTGGCATGGCCTCCCCTGCCCGCCTGCCCAGGGTCAAGAGACCCAACGTTCCCCCAAATCGCCCCATGGGTTTGTGTACGTGGTCAGTGCTGAGCCCCCAGGCAGACCCCAGCACGGGACCCACCTGACCCAGACCAGTACCAGGGCATACCGGCTGTCTGTGTACAGACTGAAGCACACATGCAGACAGCACTTAGTAAATACATACTGACTGGTGCAGACACACACATACATTACATGCTGGCTCAGCCCCCGACCCCAGGCCCAGGTGCTGGAGCAGAGGGCGACCCCTGGCTAGGAAAGGTGGAGAGGGAGCTGGTGCCCACCGGCCAGGTGCTACCTGGGCATTATGCCATTCTCTCCATGTCCCTGGGCCAGAGTGAGTGGATGGGCTGAGGTTGAAGAGGGAGGAATTCAGGAGGGCTGTGGTCAGGCTGCAGGTTGGGCAAGTGGGAGGCCTGGCTGCAAGCTGCCCTCTGTGGCTGTTCTGGGGTCTAGGTGATCATCGTTCAGGAGGTAGAGCCTCCTGGCTGCACAGGAGCACATGGGTGGAGAGGTGCCATGGTGTGCTGGCACCTGGTAACAACTGGGTCTGGGAAGCCTTTCTGGGTTGAACATGTGGAGGTCACTGAGCTGGGAGCTGGGCAGAGATGCACACAGCTGGCTCTCATCACCTGCACATCCCGGTAGTCAGAGAAAAGTGGAAGGCACAGGAGCGGGCACATGAGGGCCGCAGGGTCTGTGTCCAGGGTCCTGGGGCCCAGAAGGTTCATGGGGGCAGAAAATGCAGAGATGAGCCTGGCAGCTCAGCTCCTCATGTTCAGAGGGGACGGGTTCAGGGTCAGCTGCATCCACTGAGGCAACTGAGCTGGTCACCGCAGACCACAGGCCCCATGAGGGAGCCAGGAAGTGGGACTCCTGAAAGTCAAGATGAGCAACCCCAGGGTCTCAGAGGACAGGCTGTGCAGGGCTTCCTGCAGGATGACAGGTGAGACCACCCAAGCAGAGGGAGGCGGTGGAATGGCCACTCTGGGGACCCAGGTCAGCCTGGCCGCAGCTCAGACCAGGGGCAAGAGGGGCTGCCAACTGGGGTCTGGCCCCGAACCCTGCAGGTGTGGGGCCAGGAGTTGTCTGGGCTGTCTGGGAACCTACCCAGCTGGGCCACGCCTCTGCCTGGCCCCTGCTCGGCCTGCTCCTCCCTGGGAGAGGCTGGAAGGGGCTGGCTCTGGCTCTGGGCCCAAGAGGGGAGGCCTGGAGCCTAACTTCTGGTTCTGGGTGCTTCCCCGACAGCCGTACCGAGGCCAGGGCCTCCCCTGGACAGATGGCCTAGCCCTCTGCTTTCTAGAGTCCAGAGCTGGGTGGGCACAGTCAGCCTGGGAGGGGAGGAGTATGCTGGGGCTAGGGGCGGCCAGCCCCAGGGCCGGTGTACCCTCAGCTCGGCGTGTTCCTGAACAACTCGTCAGCCATAGGCTGAGCAGGTTGGGCACGCCTGGGTCTCCGGGAGGGGCTGGGACTTTCCTGTGTCCAGATGTGGCTCAGACTGCACCTTTCCCAGGTCTGCACCCAGGAACATGGGCCCCTGGACATAGGATCTGGGTTGAGCCCCAAGGCTGGATGGCAGGAGCACAGGGGCCTTGGCAGGTGGGCACGGAGCTCCCAGGCCTGAGATATGCCACCAACCCCAACTAGCTACCCCTCTCCCTCTGCATGCTCCCTTCCCCCTCACCTCCCATCCCTTCCCCACCTTGGTTGGAGCTGAGCTGGGCTGCCCTGGACGTCTGTGACTCTGAGAAATAATCCACATTCCTGTTCCTAATCTCACCGTGAAGTGAGGGGATGGTGCCATTGTTTCTTCTCCGAATACACAGAGCTGAGGACAAGGTTCCCTGTCACTCATTCCTACAGATTTGGCAGTCCCTGTCCCACTCCCTGTGGCAGTCAGCCCAGACTCCTGGGTTGGAGGTCCCTGGGGTGGACATAGCAGGGTCAGCGCAGGGCAGGGGAGGTGGGGTGGAGAGTCTTGGTTGCTCACTGGGGGTGAGCTGGGGGTGAAGGTGGGAGTCATAGCAGGTGGGGATCACGGCCCATGGAGCTCACGGTATATGGGGGTCATGGCGGGTGGGGGTCACAAGCAGAGTTTTCCAGGAATGTGTTGGGGAGGGTAAAGTTGAGTTGGAAGGGAGTTGGGGGTATGGAGGCTGGTCAGTGAGGGGGGCAGAGGCTGAAGCTGGGGCTGCTGGGGAGGAAGGAGGGAGGTGGAGGCTGCAGGCTGGTGGTGTGGGCGCTCCCAGGCCCCGCATGGTGTTTGTGCGCCCCCTGGTGTCCATATTGGGAAAGTGCCTGTTCCTTCAGCCTAGTCCAGCGGGCCAGGGTGCCCTCCAGTCTCATACTCAGGGCATCCCCTATGTCCCTCAGGCCCTCCTCTTCCAAGAGGTTATTCAGGCCGCTGACGGAGCTATTGCCACCCTGACCATGCCCCGCCGCATCCACAGCCCTCCCTGTGGTCTCCACAACTGCCTGGCTTCTGCCCTGTCTGTCCTGTGCTGGACAGGGGTTCCATAGGCCATTCTGGGGTGGTCCCTCTGGGGGGATGGGCATCGCGATGGGGATCCTGCCCTTCTCTTCCCACTCACAGACGTACATGCCCAGGCCCAGGTGGCCAGGCTTCTCCCCTGGACCCTTGACTCCCTGAGAGCAGATCCCGCCTTGTCTGCTAGGTGCCACCTGCCCAGGGGGCCATGCTCACATCAGCAACTCCTCATACTGGCCAGTGGACTCTGTGGCCCCTGAATGGGAGGGGACCTGCACCGTTTCCCTCCCTCCCCACAAGGGGCCCTTAGTTCTGCTCACACCCAAGAGACCACTGCCATGTCAGTTCCCGAGGCAGGCTGCATCTGACGGCCATCCCTCCTCCCCATCCCAGCTGCAGGTCCAGCTACGTGGCACATGGCCATCAGGTCTCTATGAGCAGGTGGGCTGAGTGCCCAGACTGACTGAGGACAGCACCCAGTGGGCAGGAGGGGGACATGTGGGGCTGGCTGTGCCCTTGGGGCGGAGCCTGGGTGTCCTGGGAGGTGGAAAAGGCCACCTGACGGGCACTGGGCGTGGCTGTCTCCGCTGTGTCATGGAAACGTAGGCAGGTGGCCTGGTAAGGACGGCCCGCCCGGCACACCCAGCCGGGTGCCCATAGCCCGGTCCTGCTGCCACCTGCCATGACGTCCCGGTGCCAGGATCACCCGGGCCCCACATATGTAGGCCTCTGGGACTTCAGGGCCCGGACAGAGGACGAGCTGAGCTTCCAGGCGGGAGACCTGTTCCACGTGACCAGGAAGGAGGAGCAGTGGTGGTGGGCCACGTTGCTGGATGCGGCAGGCGCGACCCTGGCTGAGGGCTATGTGCCCTACAACTACCTGGCGGAGCAGGAGACGGTGGAGTCAGAGCCGTGCGTGTCCCCGGGAGTTGGGAGCAGAGATGGGGCGGGTGCTATACTGGCCTCCCAGAGGCCCAGTGAGTGGGGACCTGGCTCCTTCTTACTGCACCCTGAAGTCCAACCTGGACATCGCCTGCCCCCATCCCTGGGCTTACCATGTCACATTCCAGCTGTGGATGTGGGCTGCTAGGACCCAGAGAGGACAGAGGGTCCAGGGTGGACATCCAGGCCTGGCTGCCAAGGACAAGGTCTGTGCGGCACCAAGGCCTTGGGATGTCGAGCTGCTCACTTTCCAAACCGCCCGAACCAGCTGCACCACCTGCTTGGGGGAGTGGGAGGCTGCCAGAAAGCTGCTGCAGGGTCCCCTGAGGACTTTCTTGCCCACCCAGCCCTGCGGGAACCAGAGAGCAGTTGATGTGGCATGTCCTGGCCTGACAGCCACTCTGAACTGGGGCTGGGAAGGTCTTGAGGGCGTCTGCTCTTCTGAGCCCTCTTTCCTGGCTCATCTGCATTGATTGGGCGCTGACTGTGTGCTGATGTGCTGTGGGCTGTGCAGGGCCACCTCCACAGGTGACTCACAAGGAGCAGATGTAGCTGTCAAAGGCAGGAGCCCATGATGGGGACTTGCAGGGGTGGGAAAGAGGGTCCCAGGTGCAAAGACCCTGAGGCCAGAGACTCCACATGTGTGAGGGGTGAGAAGGGGCCGGTGGTCGGTACTGAGGGGGGCAAGAGAAGCTTGTGCAGGAGCAGAGGGGAGACCCCGGGGGCTCTGAGCTGGGTGAGGATCTTCTGTGTGGGAGGGAGTCCTGCAGAGGTCACCTGCTGAGGCCTGCTGGCCCCACCCTCAAGTCCACAGTTCAGGGTCCAGCCACGCCCTCCAGCTGGGAGCTAGTGTGAGTGCCTGTGTGTGCCAGTGTGTCTGCGTGTGTGCATCTGTGTGTGTGAGCAGATAAGGATATGTACATGCATGTATGTGAGTACGTGTGTGCAAATGTGAATGTGTGTGTGGTGTGCATCAGTGCATGTATGTGAGCGGCTGTGCATGCCTGCATGTGTGTGCATGTGTACTGTGTGTGCAATTGTGCACCTGTGCATGTGTGCATGTGGGGACATGTATGTGCATGTGTGTGAGTGCCTTGTGCGTACATGCATATAAGTGGTAGTATGAGTGTGTGCCACATGTGTGTGAGCACATGTATGTGAGCATGTGTGTACATGTGAGTGCTTGTTTGTATGCAGCTATGCACCATGTCTGTGTGCATGGAAGTGCATGCATGTATGTGTGCACGCATGTGCAGAGGCAGTGCCAGGACCCCGTGCCAGGACACCCTCCCCACCTCGCGTCCCCAGGCTAAAGCAGGTGTGTTCCCTGGTCCCGGAACATCAGAGGCTGGGGGCTACTTATCCACATGATAGACTGCGTGTCCTGGGGGCTCAGATCCATGGATGGGACCACCAGGGCAGCCTGATGGCAGTACCTGTCTCCCCATTCTGGGGCACTAGGACCCTTCCTGGTGTCCAGAACTGGCCATTTGGGACATTCAGGGTCTATGACGGGCAAAGAAGGGGACTCTGGTTGGGGACAGTGTTGGGAGTAGCATGGTCAGGACTGGGAGCCAGATGTGGTAGGTGAGGGTGGCTGCCATTCCAGATGGGCTGGTCGGGGATTGGTGTGAGGTCAGGGTGGGTAGGGGGTGGTTTTAGCTTGGGGTCAGAAGTCAGTGTGGGGTCAGAATGGGTTGGGGTTGGGGTCAGCATGGGGTCAGAATGGGTGTGGGGTCAGGGTCAGTGTGGGTGTGGGGTTGGGATCAGCATGGGGTCAGAGGGACATGGGGTGAGTTTAGCATAGGATCAGTGTGAGGTCAGGGTGGGTTGGGGTCAGCATGGGCATAGGGTCAGGGTCAGTATGGGGCTAGGTGGCCAAGGGGTAGGGGTGAAGGTCACCATGGGGTCAGAGTGGTTGTAGAGTCATGGTCAAGGCCAGCCTGGGGTCAGAGTGTAGGTCAGGGTCAGCATGGGGTCGGATGGCCAAGGGGTAGGGATGAGGTTAAGCATGGGGTCAGAGTGGGTGTAGAGTCATGGTCAAGGTCAGCATGTGGGTTATGGTCAGCACGGGGTCGAGGGGGTGTGGGCTCAGGGTAATGTGGGGTCAGGGTCAACAGGGGGTCAGAGTGGGTATAGGGTCAGGGTAAGGGTCAGCATGATGTCAGAGCGTGGGTCATAGTCAGCATGGGTGTGGGGTTGGGTCAGCAGGGGGTCAGGATGGATGTGGGGTAGGGGCTGAGGTCAACACAAGGTCAAAGGGGCATGGAGTGGGTTTATCACAGGGTCAGTGTGAGGTCAGAGTGTGGGTTGAGATCAGCATGGGGTCAGCATGGGGGTGGGTTGGGGTGAGCGAGGGTCAGCAGAGGTCAGTGTGGGGGTGGGCTGGGGTGAGCAAGGGTCAGCATGGGGGTGTAGTGGTGTGAGCAGAGGTCAGCGTGAGGGTAGTGTGGGGTGAGCGGGGGTCAGCGTGGGGGTGGTCTGAGATGAGCGTGGGGTCAAGGAGCTGGTCCCCCATGCTCAGGCGCTCCCTCCACAGGTGGTTCTTCGGCCGCATCTCGCGCTCCGAGGCCCTGCATCGGCTGCAGGCTACGGGCAACGCCACAGGCGCCTTCCTGATCAGGGTCAGCGAGAAGCCAGGTGCTGACTATGTTCTCTCCGGTAAGGTCTCCTGGGGCTCCAGCCTGCCTGCCAAGGGGCTTCAGGTCCCTAAACTGCCATCCACCACCCCTGCCCCATGGTGAGCCTGGCACCCTCAGGACCTGGGCTGTCTCCTGGGGGCTCCCATGTCGTTGCCCACCTTGACAGCTTGTCCCTGGCCCAGGTAGGCTCCCTATGGGGAGCTGTCAGCAGCAAGACCCCCAGGTGGCAGCTCCTTGTGGGCAGGAGGGCTTCTCTGAGGTCCTCGCCCCCCTACCTTGTAGTGGGAGTCCTGAGCCCCTCTGCCCATGACCCTGGGGATATGGGGAGAGGTCAACTTGGCCCCAGGATCTTTGTGTGGCAATGGCTGTCCAGGTGGGGGCTGTGGGTGGTGAGACTGCGGGGCAGATGGGAGCCACCTGGGGGCCAGGGACAGGTCGTTGGGAGAGGGCAGGCCTCATGGAAGAGGCAGCCCCAGCCTGGTGGGTCCCCTGAGTGGGTGTGGCCAGCAGGGTGGGGTGTGCAGGGCGCTGAGTCGGTGGTGGCCACACACACTTCTTGCACCCTGCCCACTCTTCCCTCTCCCGTCCCCCGTGTCCCCTTCCCTTTGTCATCCTCTCACCCCCCCTCCATTTCCTACCCTTTCTCCCTTCCCCCCCAGTGCGGGATGCGCAGGCTGTGCGGCACTACAAGATCTGGCGGCGAGCTGGGAGCCTGCACCTGAACGAGGCGGTGTCCTTCCCTGGCCTGGCAGAGCTGGTAGACTACCACAGGGCCCAGAGCCTGTCCCCTGGCCTGCGGCTGACCACACCCTGCAGGAAGGTAGCACCACTGCTGTATCCCTCTGGGCAGGCGAGGGGTGGTACATGGGGTGCTTCTCCTGGGGAGGGTGGCCCGGCCTTCCCTGGGTGTTCTGCACTGGTCCAAGCTGTGGTGGGGCCGAGCAGAGGTGGAGGGGACCCAGAAGACATGCCCCCTGGGCCTCTTCTCACTCAGATCAGCCCACGAGGGGTCAGTTGTTCTGCCGCATCCTGGCCCAAGTCTATGGGTGTATGTGTGCAACCCAGCAGGGGCCAGCCCAGCCATGCGCCAGACACTCAGCCCCTCCCAAGCTGGACACGGCCCTAAGTCTGAGGACAAACCTGGGCTCCCACACCGGGTTCAGAGTGGCATTTCCTGAAGGGTGAGCAGGGCAGCTGGACCGGAGTCCCCTCCCTGCCCTGTGTGCCCACCTGTCCCCTTAGCACGAGCCTGAGCCCCTGCCCCACTGGGACGACTGGGAGAGGCCAAGGGAGGAGTTCTCACTCTGCAGGAAGCTGGGGTCCGGCTACTTCGGAGAGGTCTTCGAGGGGCTCTGGAAAGATCAGGTCCAAGTAGCCATCAAGGTGATTTCACGAGGTGAGTGGGCCTGGCCTACCAGGAGGGCTTAGGGCACCCCCTCTCGCCCCCCACACGCTGGTGTTCTTGGGAGAACAGTCTTCTTCCCGCTGCATCTGTGTTTTCACATGAATTTGTGTGAAATCTGAAAAGGCTCACTGGAAATCTGAAAAGGCTCACCTAAAGCTGCCTTGGGCCCCAGCAGGGGTGTGGCCCCCACAGGTCAGGAATCAGGGATGCAGGAAGCACGAATGTGGCAGGGGGCTCTGAAGCTGTGGCCCTGACAGATGTTGGCCAAGGGGGTGTGGCTAGTGCAGGTGGGCAGTGGGGCCTATGTGAGTGCTGGGGCAGGGGCTGGAGTGCCATGACCCTGGGTTGCGTCAGTCCTGGCATCGAGGCCTCGGGAGCGGGGCACCCTGTCTCGGGGAGGACATCTATGTTTTCTGAGCAGCTGCTGGGGGTAGGCAGGGCCTTGGTCTCCTCCTGGGGGCCTGAGGTCAAGGCCACACACGCCCAGGCCACCCATACTCACCCAGTCTGCCTGTCCCCAGACAACCTCCTGCACCAGCAGACATTCCAGTCAGAGATTCAGGCCATGAAGAGGCTGCAGCACAAACACATCCTGGCACTGTATGCAGTGGTGTCTGTGGGGGACCCCGTGTACATCATCACAGAGCTCATGCCCAGGGGGAGCCTGCTGGAGCTGCTGCGGGGTGAGTGGGCATGGCACAGGCCCTCGGGCTCCTGTTCATGCCTCCACATGGACACGCACTGGTACACACTTGTACATGTGCACTCCCATATACACACTTATACATGTGCACTCACTTATACCTTAGACAGGAGAGCAGACATGCCTGTGTGCACGCTTATGTACATGCACGAACACATTCAGGCACATGCACACTGATGCACTTATACAGACACAGACACACTCACATGCACCCTTATATACGCGGTCACTTATACACTCATGCATGCACACCAACACACCCCACACACTTATATACATGCACACACACAGACACACAACGGGTCTCATTGACTCAAAGATATCATCTCAGATGCTCTGTTATTTTCATTAAAACCAAAGCCAGCACTGCCAGGATGCAGAGATATGGGTGTGTGGAGACACAGCCGACTCCAAAGAAGTGAAAGTGGGGGCATACACGTGGGGACTGGCCTCACCTGTGGTGTGCCCAGCCAGACCCACACTGACATGCAGGATGCTCTGAAGGAGTGAGTCTGGGTCCCACGTTTTCCCACAGCAAGCGTTGTCATCTCAGGCAATGCCCCATCATCTGAGGTCCTCAGGAATGCCAGGGTCTCCTGCGGCCATACCTGGCCATTCGCCTGCTGGAGCCTTGGTCATGTAGACGGCTCTGCCCCGACCACCATCCCACACACCTCTCTGAGTTCCTGCTGCCTTGTAGATTTCCAGAAGGCAATGGCTGGGCAAGGCGGGGGTAGGAACTGCTCTGTGGCTCTGGACACAGACCTGCCTTCTAGAAGACCACGTGGCCACCATTCTGGTTTTAACCGGGCTAGTTGCCCTCTGCCCCAGCCCAGGAGCTGGTGCTCACATAGCCTGGGATGCAGCCCAGCCTCACCACCCTACACAGCCAGTCCAGCTGACCCTGGACTCTGCTCATGTCTGCAGATACTGACGAGAAGGCCCTGCCGGTCTCGGAGCTGGTGGACACCGCGGCGCAGGTGGCCGAGGGCATGTGCTACCTGGAGTCCCAGAACTACATCCACCGGGACCTGGCAGCTAGGAATATCCTTGTAGGGGAGAACAACATCTGCAAAGTTGGGGACTTCGGGCTGGCCCGGCTCATCAAGGTAGGGCCCGGCAGAGGGCTGGGTTTCCTCAGGTGCCATGCGGCCCTGCTTTCCATGCTCCTACATGAGCATGAGTACACAATCCCAGTAGGATGCAGCTGGGCCCACGGCACAGACAGCCAGGCTCCCAGCCCTGGCCCCCGATGCGGCCCAGGAGCCTCCTGCTTTCCTGTCCTTGCCACCCTCCCACCCCCATACTGCGGACCCCAGGGAGGGCAGCGCTTTTGGTGCTCAGGGTCTCAGCACGAGTCTAGCTGCATGGGCAGCAGGCCGGTGGCCATGGGCCACCTCCTGTGCCTGGGGCCCATCACAGCCACCCAGCACCAGCCTGCTTACAGGAGGATGTCTACCTCTCCCATAACCACAACATCCCCTACAAGTGGACAGCACCTGAGGCTCTCTCCCGAGGACACTACTCCACCAAGTCTGACGTCTGGTCCTTTGGCATCCTCCTCCATGAGATCTTCAGCAAGGGGCAGATGCCCTATCCAGGTACTGGTCCCAACACTGGAGATGCAGGTGCAGGTCCTGGTGGCCAGTAGGGAAAGGAGGTGCCTCCCCCGACAGTGTGTGGGGAATGCCAGGGCGCAACCAGAGGCTGTGGGGAAGGCTTCCCAGGGGGAGGGTGGGCAAGTGTGTACAGCCTCCTTCCCAGTTCCTCTCATCCCCTGGCCACAGGTATGTCCAACCATGAGGTCTTCCAGAGGGTGGACGCCGGCTACCGCATGCCCTGTCCCCCAGAGTGCCCGCCCAGTGTGTACACACTCATGCTCTTGTGCTGGCGCAGGGCCCCCGAGCAGAGGCCAGGCTTCAGTGCCCTGCTTGAGAGGCTGGCCACCGTCACTAGGTATGAGAATCCCATCTGAGCCTCCTTAGAGATCTGAAGAAGATGGCTGCCATCCTGAACAGAGACCTGGCATGTGGCACAGCCATCCTGGGTGTGCTGAGCATGGGGTGTAGGAAGCATGCACTCAGTACAGCATACTTGCATGAAATAAACGTGTATGTCTCCTGCTAACCTGTCTCTGTTACTCGGGACTCAGCTGAGACCTGTGATGGTGAGAAAGAGACTCTCTCTCCCCTGCAGTTTCTGGCGCCCAGTGTGGGGCAGCTGAGACCTACCAGCTCTGGAGCTTGCAGAGGAAATCCCAGGGCAGCTCCCAAGGCCAGCTCCAGGGAAGGATGCTCAGCAGGGCCAGCCCTCTTGGGTCTCTGTCTGCAGGCCCAGGTGAGGGAGGAAGGTAAACCCATCTCTTCTCTTAATTTAGGCTTGCAGGGAAAATTCACATGTGTATTGAGACTCCTGTGGACCCTTGGTCGGGAGACCCTTAGTCCTGTCCCTCCTGTCTGGCTATTTCTTTCCAGTTTGTCCTGAGAGCATGGCCATGTGGCCCATAAGGACACTCTGTTGTCTGCCAGCAGGGGGGTGGGCATTGGCTTGTGGCCCTGCTGGTCACTCCACACAGGCTGTCTGGGCTTTCCCGTCCCATCAGCCAGTCAGGGGTTGCAACGGGCAGCCACGTGAGAGGCTTCTGCCACATTAGCCTGTGTTGCTTGATCCATACTGGAAAACACCCCTCATGCCCATGGTGACAAAGGTCTTCCCTGGGCTGCCCGTGGTGACAAAGGTCTTCCCCTGGGCTGCCTGAGGGATGGCTCTGGCCTGGGATGGTGCAACTTTCACATTCAACCTTATTGGTTTTGGCTGAGTTACCAGAAAAGTGTTTTTGCTTTAAAAGGAGAAAAGAGAGTTCAATATTGCCAGTAACAATATTTACTATTTGTCCCAGCTGACACCTGATAATAGGATATTTGAAAGGGTTTCAAAGAGCTCGAAGGTCAGAGTTGGCTTAATTGGAGGCTGACAGTTGGGGCACTTATTTAATCCCTGAAGGCTGCTCTCCTTCATTGGATCCTGCTTGCCCATGGGATCTCCTCAGCCCCCTGCTGACTATACATCTGCCCACCTGTCCACTCCCTGCTGGGGTGACCCTGGCCTCTTCGGGAAGCCTGAGATGCCCCGAGTGGCCCCAGAGCCTCTTCCTCCTTTCTGCCTCTGCCCCTTCTTGCTTTTGCACTTTGTCACTCGTCCCATCCCCCTCAAGCCCCGCCTATTCCACCCACTGTCCACCGCCAGGCCTTTCCATGCCTGCTTCAGTCCCAGCCCCCAGGTGAAGGGTAGGGCTCCTGTGCCCAGGGTTCTCTGGGTCTCTTGAAAGCAGCTACCTAAGGCTGAAGAGCAAACAGGCTGAGGCAGGCTGATGACAGCACTAGGTATCTCCTGGATCATTCACCTCAAATTGAGCATAGCCTCTCAAGACTGACTCCTGGCTGGGCACAGTGGCTCACGCCTGTAATCCCAGCACTCCGGAAGGCCAAGGCTGGAGGATCGTTTGAGCCTATCAGTTCCGAGATCAGCATGGGCAACACAACAAGACCTTGTCTCTACAAAAAAAAAATAATAAATAATAAAATTTAAAACGATTGATCTCTGATAATCAGCAAATATGTCCCAAAAATCCTGAAGAACTTCCTCTGTGCTTTTGAGATGTAAATTTTCTCCCATCTTCTCTAAAACCTGAGTCATCATTTTGAGATATAAACTTTAGGGAGATGACTGTCCTCAGGAAAGAAAATTACTACTTGGATGCTAGACAAATGAAAAATCATGTTAAGCCTTTTCCATAGACATTAGTAAAACGTTTTGGCCATCTGAGTGGGTCACCTTGTCCTATTTCGTCCAGAAACACTACTTGCATAAAAGTGTTAAGTGGAGATAAGCCTGTGCATCTGTATTACTGTCTTCCTGATTTACAAATTAAAAATTTTAAATGAAAGCTGTAAGATCTATTTGTGTATATGTGATATTTTAAAATCTCAGATAGTATTACCAAATCAATCTACAAAATACCTTTAAAAAGTTCTACTCAGATGGGCTTAGGGATAAATGAGCACTCACATAAACATTCCTAAAACTCTCAGAAATATAGAAACTAAGCCAAATTTCTTTTAACAAGTTTATGTGATCATTGCCAGGTGCATTGACTCACACCTATAATCCTAGCACTTTGAGAGGAGGCCAAGGGGGATGATTGCTTAAGGCTACGAATTCGAGATCAGCCTGGACAACATAGTGAGATCCCATATCTACAAAAATAAAAATGTCTAATAAAAATAAAAATGACCTGGGATCTTTGGTAAATAAAGCTAGTTTTAAGACTATTGGTAGCCAGGCTCGGTGGCTCAGCCTGTAATCCCGCGCCTTTGGGAGGCTGAGGTGAGTGGATTGCGTGAGCCCGCAGGTTTGAGATCTGCCTGGGCAGGAGAGACCTCATCTCTACAATAAATTTTAAAAAAAATTAGCCGGGCGTGGTAGCGTGCGCCTGTAGTTCCAGCTACTTGGAAGGCAGAGGCTGTGGGGGCCAGGAGCGGCCACTGCACTCCAGTCTGGGCGACAGTGAGACTCCAACTCAAAAAAAAAAAAAAAAGTTAAAAAAAAAAGACTTGGTAAAATAAAAATAAAAATGACTTCATAATTGCCAGTGGTAAATACAATGCAGATATACATTTTCTTCTGCCTGTGTTTAGTAGTCAAACAAGCTTATGTCATCTCTACTAAATGTTTAAGATCATAACATGACTCATGAGCAATTCAAGAAGAATTGTTAAGAACAAGAATTACGTGAATAGAAGTGGGATAAGTTTATAAGTGAACCTTCGGCCGGGTGTGGTGGCTCAGGTCTGTAATCCCAGCATTTTGGGAAGGGGAAGTGAGAGGACTGCCTAAGCCCACAGGTTCGAGACCAGTCTGGACAACTTGGTGAGACCTCATCTCTGTAATAAATCCAAAAATTAGCTGGGTATGGTAGTGCACGCCTATAGTTCTGGCTACTTTGAAGGCTGAGGCAGAAGGATAGCCTAAGCCCAGCAGGCTGAGCCTGTGGTGGCTGTGAGCGTGCCAGTGCGCTCCAACCTGGGTGACAGAGTGAGACTCCAACTAAAAAAATAAAAAGAAAGTAAATCTTTAAACCATAACTGTTTTATAAAATATGTCTACTTAAAAAGTTTCCAAAATCTTTTTGGTAACCTGCAACCTTAAACTAAGTAATAGATAATGATTGACTGTCTGGGTCACTTCTAAGAAAGACAAAATAGGCCGGGCTCAGTGGCTCAGCCTGTAATCCCACGCTTTAGGAGGCCGAGGGGAGTGAATTGCCTGAGCCCATGGGTTCAAGATCCGCCTGGACAACTTGGCGAGACCTCACCTCTACAATAAATCAAAAAAAGTAGCCGGGTGTGGTAGCGCGTGCTTGTAGTTCCAGTTGCTTGGAAGGCTGAGGCGGAAGGATTGCCGGACACCAGCAAGTCAAGGCTGCAGTGGCCAGGAGCGGCCAGTGCACTCCAGCTTGGGCGACAGAGTGAGACTCCAACTCAAAAAAAAAAAAAAAGAAAGACAAAATACTGAAACATAAACTACTAAGCATAAGTTTAGGGTTATATGCTTTTGGCATTTGTTTCCATATGGCAGAGAGAAGCTTAATATATTTGGGTCTGTTAATAAACACGAGAAAAGTGTACTTGCATAAGCATGTTTCTGCAAATTATGAAATCGACAAAACACTGGTGCCACACAGAGACCAGCATTGCCTACTTCCTAGTTGTAACTAGAAGTTAAGCTTATCAAGAGTTAATAACTATGATTAATGTACATAACTAAAGCTACTAGAAACAGTAAGGGAAAAAACTCTGCATGCAAAGTACACTTGGAAAATAAATGTTTTTTGGTAAAGAAAGTTATAAGGTATGAAAGATGTTTTTCCTGCTAAGGGAGAAAGGAGAAATTAACTATATTCTAAAGTAGAGTGACTGGTTCTTCCAGAAAAAGAAAAATGTGGAAAGAAAAAGCTGATGCACATTTAAAAAAGAAAAAAAGTTTTGTGGGAAAGAAATTTTGTCTTGTGTAGTCAAAGCTGCCTGAGACTGGATGGATTTACTTGTAAAGTTCTTTTTAAAATTAGCTGTATTATTACTAGTACACGGATGCAAAACTGGCATATGAAAGGTTTTTATTGATCTTCTTAGTAATTGGGCTAGGAAACAACACATTTATGTTGTAGGATAATTTCTTGTGCTTCATGCTGGTTTTTATTAGGTCTTTGGTTACTTTAGAAAGTGAATCTTCTCGATACTAACAGAGCTAAGTTTTGTTCAAAACTACGTAAACATCTACATTTGCCTTTAAAAATTACTGTCACTTTGACTAACCAAGATCATTTAATTGTCTTCAAACTTTTGATGTTTTTAACAACTTCCTAAAATCAAATTCTAAATCAAGTCTTTTTGACCTTGAACTCATTTTGGGAGCTCCCAGAAGGGCCTCTGGGATATCTCAAAAGCATTTGTCTCCCACCTTGTAAGAGAGAAATGTTAAACCAACTAGGCTATTTTTATGTTAAATCATGTGGAAAACACTGTCAAAGAATAAGTGATGCTAAGTGCTCTTGAGGTTATATTTATGGGAATGTTATTGAGTGCTGCAGAAATTATACAAAATCCCTAGAAATCTGATGTTATCCTTGACATACACCCTGTATCAGCAGTCCCCAACCTTTCTGGCGTCAGGGACCACGGAAAACCATTTTCTGCGGATGGTGGGGGGGTGTCATTAGATTCTCATAAGGAACATGCAACCTAGATCCCACATGCGCAGTTCACAATAGGGTTCATGCTCCTGTGAGAATCTAATGCTGCCACTGGTCTGACAGAAAGCAGAGCTCTGCTCAACTGCAGCTCACTGGGTTCCTAACAGGCCACAGACTGGTACTGGTCCACAACCCGGGGGTAGGGACCCCTGTCCTATGTACTATGTTATTCCTACAAATCTGGTATAATGTTATCAGGCTTAATTTTGGTTATCATGTTAAAACTGTCATATGCCACAGAAATAAGCAAGTTTCCTTGTTACTTGAACCATTAGTTTAACAAGCTCTTGTCAGATTTATTTTTTTGAGTTGGAGTCTCACTCCATCGCCCAGACTCGAGTGCAGTGGCACGCTCCCAGCCACCGTAGCCTCAACCTGCTGGGCTCCGTCTCAGCCTTCTAAGTAGTTGGAACTATAGGCGCGCGCTACCACACCCGGCTTCTTGTCAGATCTTTACTCATGGCTCTTGTCTTCGTCACTCACAGGCAGTTACTGTTTTAGTTTGATTCTTTTCTGAAAGCGTTTGCAGTCAGCTTGTCCTGAACAGGTTCTTCTTCAATGAGACTCATGGGAAGTTCCTGACAGGTGCTCTGGATACAGGTTTCTGATAACTTGAAGGTCATAACACTGGACTAGGCAAGAATTTCAGAATGCTAATGGATTTAGGAAATGATAATTTATTATGCTTTTATTAGATCTGATTACTTTTAAAAACTGAGATTTAGCCAAGTGCAGTGGCTCACATCTGTAACCCCAGCACTTTGGGAGGCCAAGGCAGGAGGACTGCTTGAGCTCAGAAGTTCGAGACCAGTCTGGGCAACATAACAAGACCTCATCTCTAAAAAAAAAAAAAAAAATTAGCTGGGCTGGTGGCATGTACCAGTAGTCCCAGCTACTAGGCAGGCTGAGGCAGAAGGATCACCCGAGTCCAGGAGTCGAGGCTGCCATGAGCCATGATCATGCCACTGCAGTCCAGTTTGAATGAACCTCTGACTCAAAAAAAAAAAAAGTGTGTCTTTTTAGACTCACCCAGATAAATCAGAATAGGACTTAATGCAAATGAATAAACTGATAAGGATAACTTTCAATGGCTTTATGTCTGGGACAGCACTTGTGCTTTAATTTTTTTTTTTAGTGAGAAAGCAGGATTTATTGAGAGGACAGAGAAGCTTCCACAGTGGGAGGAGACCCAAAGGAGTTGCCCCACTTTAACGTTTTCTAGGCTTCGGGAAGCTCATCCTTTTCTTAAACCATCTATAGCTTACAGCAATTAGTAAAACACACCTTTGTAAACAAAGCGAAATGTCTTTTTGTTCATGCCTAATCCCTCCAGAATTCAGAGACTACTGACCAGTGTTCTTATATTTATGGCAATAGTTACTTGCGTAAGTTCAGTAAGAACCAGCTTTCCTTGCAGGGGCAGGACTGGAAACACTGGTTATATCACTTTCCAGGGGCAGGACTGGAAACACTGGTTATATCACCAAGGTGTTGACTAGAATGCCATTTTCAGATTTGACCAAATAACTTTAAGGAACTAAAGTTAAATTTATGGAGCCAATGAAGGTTCTTGGAAAAAAAACTGGTACCTTGCAACCACAGACCCCCTAGCATAGTCCCCTTACAGATGAGTAGGGGCATCAATCCCTGGCAGGCTCCACAAGCCTAGGATACTTTAGGGCCTCAAGAGGAGAGAACTCCCCCAGATCTACAGGTACTGCAGGAGAGTCTGACGGAAGGCCCTGGCTTGGCCTCCAGGCCTCAAGAAGCTTTCGCAATGCCCATCTGGGATTCCTGATAAAAAAGTTCCAGCAATATAAACTTAAAAAGAGCCTTTGTGGCCAATCACTATTTCTGCTGCACTGGTAAGAATAACCAGGCCAAGCTTATTAAGACTAAACTTAGTTTGCAAAATCAGTCTTGCTTTGATTATTGTTGCTAAAAACAAGTTGGCTGTAGAGAAAAAAACTATTTCAGAAGAAAACTCACCCCAACCCCCACTGCCACTGTCTTGAGTCGGTGCCACCACCTGTAACTCAACCATACCTGCCCTGCCACTGTCTTGAGGTCAGTATCTGGCTATAGATCTCGACGCTAACACATCCAGGTTTCCTCCCACTCTCTGGCCAGTGTCACTAAGAATTCAAAGTACTTTTGTCTGAAGTCCTGCAGCAGGGGCTGGACCACTGACATAGACTTGAGAGAAGCCACAGTAACTCATGTGCAGACATTTAAGCTGCAAACCTGGAAAACCTGTCAGATTGGCACGGTCCACCCCGTGGCCAACATCCAGAAGCCTTCTGACTGCCCGCCCTCAGGGATCAAAACAGAGTCTATGGCTTGTCCTATTCAGTTACCTCTCTTTTTATCCTACAAAAATGCCTCCTCTTATTAAATACCCAACTGACCTCACCATAATCAGGGCCCAGCTGGGATGAGCACAGCTGTCACCTTTTGAACAGCACAGACCTGTCCCCAGGCCAGCAGATCAGGTTGGCGTGTTATGGGAACCATCCACCAACCCAGTTCTTGGGGAGGTTCTAGGCAGGGCAATGTTTGGGGGCAGGAAGCCTGGTTGCATGGAAACTGAGGCAGAAGCAGGAAGGCCTCCTGACCTTCCCCTCGCTGCTCCCCAAGGATCCTGTGACAGGTGTCCTGCCCATACCCAGAGGGAGAGACATCTCAGAGGTGCCTACGGAGAATCTGGATAGGTCCTGTGAGTGCCCTCTGTCCCCCAGTCGCTCCTGCACAAGTGTCCCTCAACAGACTCCCCACTTTCCTGGGTCTTTACTGAGGCTCCCAAGTTACTCGACATCTGCACTACACACCTGCATGCCATTGTCAATCCACCATCTGTCACATGGCTCTCAGCCAGGAGGCTTGTGTGGAGTGAGGAAGATACTGGAGGTGCGGCTTCTGTAGACCAGGACTCCTGGAAGCCACATGACCTCAGCCTGCCCCTCCCTGACTCCAACTGCAGAAACCTCCAAAAGCCAGGAAGGACTGTTCCTGTTGCAAGAAGGGTGCACTCACCAGTCCTGAGCCAAAGCCCATTGGCTAAGCTGGGCTGAACCCTGCCCCTTGGAGCCTTGTGTGGTAGGCCTTGAGCTTTGGCTGGACTCTCAACACCCAGCTCCTGCCTGCCCTCTAGATGTCACACGTATATGCACACATGCACCTGGGGGGCCTCGCGGGGAACCAGGGGCTGTCCTGCCAAGACAATCAGCAGCTGATTGGGCTGTGTGGACCCTGGACCACACTGTGGAATCCCCTCCCCTCCTGAGTCCATCCAGGTGGAGAGTCCCCCTGTCCAGTCTCGGCACTGACCACCCAGCTTGGGCACCAAGGGCAGGCAGGACAGAGGCTCAGCCATCCGAAGCCACAATCACAGATGCCTTCCAGTGGATCCCACCGTTATTAGAGTGCAGGATGGGGAGGGTGCCAGGAGAGGCTGTGAGTCTACCTGCAGCACTCCTGTGTTCCTGACCCACACGGATCCCCTAACCATCTCATGGCCTCATATCCCTCACAAAGTGCCCCCATCAGACCTGAGACAAGCCCTGATAGCCACTCAAAGTGTGGACATAACCAGCTGACCACTAGCCATGGTCATGGACACCTACCCAAGAGGAGACCTAATAAGGCCGTGACCCCATGTGCCTCCACCCGCTGGCCCTCACCAGGCCTCGACTGATACCATTCCTGGCTCAGGCATCCCAAACACCCTTGGTGAGGGTCAGGCCAGAACACAACAGCCTTCTGTGCCCATTGCAGCTCCTGTGCCCTCTGACCTTTCAGTTGGGCTACCTGTGGCAGGAAGACCCCTCCTGAGGGCCTGCAACCCTTACACCTCACTGTCTTCGGTGTTCCCAGATAGGGAGTAGCTTGCTTATGGGAGGACTCTGGGGACTCCATGAAGCTGTCCACATCAGCTGGGAGGTCCAGCTTCCTCAAAGTTACTGAATCCCTCCAGTTGAGGGCTCCCAAACTCACAGCCAGAGGCCTAGATACTGGGGACCCAGTCACTCAGGACCAGCCTCCCTGGCTCTGGGTAGCACAGGGAGCTGACCTGGGGTGTCTAATCTGACTCTAGGGCTTCTTGCTCTCCTGGAAGCAGCACAGGGCAATGGGGCCCACTCACAGGAGCAGCCCCGCCCTCATAAGCCTGGGCTCCCAGGAGCAGCAAGTTCAGGATGACTTCACAGGAGTTTCTCCAACAGACCCTGGGGCCGCATAATTCACCCACACCATCAGGAGGTCCTGGCTGCCTGGAGTTTATTTTCCACTTGGTGCAGGGAGACAGTTACATTATCAGGAAAGCTCCCATATGCTGGGCAGTGAAAAGCAGTGCTCTCACTTCTTTTGGTGCTTGCTGTGTTGATAGAAAATAACCCAACTGCTTGTCTGCCTGCTGCAGCCACCTAGTTTGCCCGGAGGGACCAGGATGGGAGGGGAAAGGAGAGGGGAAAGGAGAGGGGCAAGGGGAGGGGTGGGGAGGGAGGGCTCTGACAGCCTAGCGCCTCAAGGCCTGGGGCTGGTGGTGGTTGCTCAGGATGGGGGCCCAGCGTTGGCTTTACTGGACTGGCCACCAGGCTCTTTCCTTGTTGCTTCTCGAGCCAAGCCACGGGTAGTCATCCCGCTGGAGGCCTGGGGGGGTTCCGTGTGCTCCGTGGACTCCAGCACCGTGGCCATGAATGGGAGAGTGGACTTCCCGAAAAAGAAGCTCGCCCACCAGTGACCCGGGTCAGCCTTGGGAAGACCTGAGAGAAGCAAAGCGAGGTCACGTCGCCACGCACTCCGGGTGGGATAAGGGGGGGGGCGGGCCTGCACTCACCCGGGGGGTGTGGGATGGCTTCCGCGGGGCACTCGGCACTTCCGCAGGAGCTGTTGCTGGAAGTGGAACCCAGGCGGCCTGGAGCGAAGAGGCCGGGTCAACAAGGCAGGCGTGGAGCTCCCCGCCCCTCCTCGCGCCGGCCGGGGTCCATCCGCGTGGGATGGGTGGCACGGGGCCTACTTACGCCGGTAGTAGTCGTGAGTAGCCACGAGCGAGCCGCTGGAGGGGATGGCCGCCATGCTCTTGTTTGTGGGCCGGTGGAAACCTGCGCACGCGGGAGTCGGGAGCCCCTGGTCAACGTGCTGCCTCGGGAAAAACCGCCCCGTCCGGGGCCCCTACGGGCTCCTCGGCCCTGCCGAGGCGGGGCTTCCGGGCGCCGGGCCCACCCTCGGGCGGCTCTAACCAGCCCGAACCGGCCGCGCGGGCGAAACAAAAGGCGCTTTGTGCACTGCGCCCCGGCTTGGGCGCCCAGACTTGGGGGACACCGACCGAACCCCTGGCCCGGAGAAGCCGCCCGCGACCCCGCGGCCCTCAGCCCGGTGCCCCCAACCCCCTAACCCCGCACGGCCCCAATCTGGCCCTAGCCGGCCCCGCGTCCCCCGCCCTCTTGTCCCACGGTCCATCCGTCCAGAGCGCGCGGCCCCGATGCCCAACATCCACTCGGACCCCACCTCGGCGACGACCCCCCGCGGGCCTCGGCGCGCGATTACGGGTGGCGAGGAGCGGACGCTAGGCCACGGAGCCCATCTGCAGAGGAGACCGACGGAGGCCGTGCCACCACTGAGAGCACGCGCACCGCGCGCGTGCGCGGACACGCCTCCTTATATGCCCAGGGCCGTCACGGGAGGCGGGGCGCAGGGGCCCTGCCCGGAGCTGGCTAGGCCCCGCCCCATCGTCTTCCCGGCAGTGCCCGAGCTCTGGTAGGCCCTGCCCAGCTTCTCCTGGCCCTGCCCCGAGCCCGACTAGGCCCCGCCCGAGCCCTGCGAAGCCCCGCCCCAACTCCTCCCAGGCCGCACTTGAGCCCGGCTAGGTCCCTCCCTAGCTTCTCCCTGCCCCGTCCCTAGCCCGGCTAGGCCCCGCCCGAGCCCGGCGAAACCCCGCCCGAGCCCTGGGAAGCCCTGCTCCAGAGTCATTCCGGCCCCGCCCAATGACCCTGCTAGGCCCCGCCCCAGCTTCCCTCGGCCCCGCCCCAAGTCCTGAGAAGCCCCGCCCCAGCTCCTACCTGGCCCCGCCCCAAGTCCCCGCCAAGCCCGGGTCCTGGCCCCACACGTTGGCAGGGCTTGGGCCGTCCGGCTCAGGCTGAAGTCCATCTCGGCGGTGTTTGTCCGCCTGGGGCGTCCTGGGAAGCGTACCCCGCCTGGCCTGGGCTTAGAGGGGTAAACGACCCCTGCTGGCATCCCAGAGCTGGGCCTGTGCCCTCTTCCCCTGGCCTAACCACCCTCTTCGACTCGGGCCCAGCCTTGTCCAGTCGGTCTCGTTCTCTCCAGTCCCCATGGCGTCCGGGGGTGACTGCTGCACTTCAGTCCCTTCAGGCCCAGTCCCCCACTCGGCTGGGGACCGGAACTGACTTCCGCTCGTGCGTGCCCCTCTAGCTGGATGAGGACCCAAGCGACACCTCGCCTTACCTGTGGCACTGGCGGTACCTGGGGGTGCTGTGTGTCTGGAGCCCGGCCCTTCAGGGACTTCACAACCAGGAGACACTCGTGTCCTCCTTGCAGCCCTGGCAGCTCTGGAACCTGCATTCGCATTCGTGTTCCCCAGGCCACTCCTGCTGCTTGCAGGGGCAGTGAGTGGGTGGGGGGATGGGGGGTGGTGGAAGGCAGGGCACAGGTGGAGTGGAAGGCTTATTTGGGCTGGTAGGGTCAAGAGGTATCTCTAGTTGCTGGAGTCAGAGGCTGGGTCCATTTGAGGGACCCAGAATGCTCCTGGCAGATGCTGGACTCTGGGGATGGCCCACCTGCCCTTGTCAAGCAGTTCTGCTTGCTTTCCAGTCACCCCCTCCCTGCCCATCCCCCCCATCCTCCCTCAAGCTCCCTCCCCCAGAGAGGAAGTCTGTGTGGAAACTCTGTGTCTTACACACCTGGTCCTGGCTGGGCGGGGTCTTCTTCAAGGTTGAGAGAGTCCAGAAAGGTCCAAGGGGCAGTGCAGTCTGGAGGGTTCCAGAATCATCCCCTGGTGGGTTTGATGTATGAGCTGGTGGGAGGCTTGCTGCCTCTGTTCCTGGGAGACTGAGGCCAACCACGCCAGACCCTGCCCTCATGTGAACCCAGAGCCAGGCAAGGACCCAGGGGAGGCCCCTGAACAATGGGCACTCTTGTGCTTCCGAGGAAGTGGGAAAGGCTAGGACCGGGTCCCTGCACCTTTCTGTCTATGGCATGAGTGTGTTGAGCACCTGCTATGTGTGGATGGCTGCACCGGTCACAGGGTGTGGTGTGCCCAGACAAGAGCTGCCTTCCAGGGCAGGGCCAGTCAGGAGGCTGGACAGGAGAAGGGGGGGAGTTAGGTTTAGGAGAAGGGGGGGAGTTAGGTCTGAGAGGGATCTACCCTCAGTGCTATGGGCAAGGCCTGGACAGGGCCTGCATGAGAGATGAGGCCAGGGCCACTGAGGGGTCTCCGATGAGGAGATGGGTCAGTCTGGCTGACACCAAGAGGGCAGGGCTTTCCAGCAAGACCCTGGTCTGTCTCATGGCTGCTTGTACTGCAGGCTCTGAGGGACCCAGGCTCGGGGCTCTGTCCCTCCACTGGACTCCTGGGTTTGGGGGGCCACAGGCATGTGCTGGGCTGCCCCTCATGGGCCTCACACCACATCACACCATAGAGACAGTGACTTCAGGGCTCTAGGACTGCCCTCAAATGACATCCAAGGCCCAGGAGATGGGGCTGGTGCTTGGCACCCAGGCCGCCCTTTCTTTAGGCAGTGAGGGGCCCACACAGAACCTGGGCACAGCGGTCACTTGAGCAGGGGCACAGTTGGGTGGGGTGAGGGCTGGGGTAACCCTGAAGGGCCTGGGCAGAGGTGGGGAGACAGCTGGGTTGGGTCTCCTGCGGCAGGTAGGGGAGAGTTGAGACTTGGGGGCTGCCCTGGAGAAGGGGGCCACCCTAGAACCCCAAGGACTGGGGCGGCCGGCCAAGGTTTCTTCTGGGAGGGGCCTGTGGTCAGTGGTCGGTTCTGGCCTTGTTGCTGTTGCTTCTGGGCTGGCACCCAGCACTCTATCCATTCTGTAACTCCCCCCTTGGGCACAGTGCGACATCTATGTGCAGAGGTAGGTTCACTGGGAATTCCCACCCTCATACTATTCAGGAGGAAGTACGAGAGCCTTAGCACCAGAGTGGGGAGGTGCTCCTGGCAGCAGGACCAGCATGTGCAAAGGCCCTGGGGCCAGAGGGAACTATGGTTATTGGGCTGTGGGTGTGGGAGGTTGGAGCCAGACCCTAGTGGGTAGCAGAGGGCAGGGATACCCGATACTTCTTAGGACTGGGTGTGTGTGGCACAGTAGTCACTGGCCATGTTTTGCAGTGTAGACGCTGGGCACAGCCACAAGCCTGTCCTCTGCGGCCGAGGGCAGGGGCAGCTATGGCTGGGGTTGACCTGTGGTGGTCTGGGTCAGAGACCCTGCAGGGAGCAGGTGCTCGGTCAATTGCTGTGGCTACCTCCTATTGGGCCCCCTCCTGCAGAAGTGTCCAGGCAGGTTCTCGGGGGCAGACACTGGGATGAAGTTTGGGGTGCAGAATGTGTGCTGGGATCCACTCCTGGGAAAAAATGGGGAACACACAGGACGGATGGGGGGGCTCCAGGTGGCAGGGACTGTTGGGTGACCTGTGTGTGCCAGCTGTGCATGGACCCGACGCAACTGCCCTGCAGGGAGGCCCAGGGGAGGTGGCGCTGGTTGGGGCTGCCCCTGCAGGAGCTGATAGTGGGCGCCATTTGCCGCTCCCCCACCATCTTCTGCTGCTGTCTAGGCCGGCCTGACCCAGCCAACCTCACTCAGTCTCACCAGCCCACGATAGCAACAGGACATCGGAAAGGAGCAGCTTTTATTCTCCTTCACGTGAAAGAATAGGGGCTGCATTTCCTAAGCCAGAAATGGTGGCCCCATGAGTTCCTCCCTGTGGTGGCTTCAGAGACACCGGTTGGCATCAACAGTGCATCCTGGCCCCAGTGGAAGGAGCCATGGGGCCTCCATGCCCACCTGGATCCCAGCTTCCATGAGGACTCGCAGATGCCCGCAGGGCCTGCCCGTTGAGTGCAGGAGGCAGTGGGTGACACTGGGCCCAGTTGTTCTCTGGCCGAGGGGTTACAGACCGGTCCCGGGTTGTGGCTGGTGCTGAGAGCCCCCAGGTTAGGAGCCACACTGCCTGGGCTGGACCTGCGCCTCCGCCCGCTCCGGCCAGGCTCACCAAGCCCAGTGCCTCCGTGACACCAGCCTCAGACAGAGGAGCCCATGTGGGCAGGAAGGATGAGGTTGGGGAATGTCAGCCCCCTCTCCACTGTCTCTGGGGATTCAGTTTGGGGGGGTGGGTCTGCAGGGCTGGGCACGAGGTCAGGAAGCAGGAGCAGTGAGACACTCTGCACCCAAGCCTGTGACTGTGGGGAAATGGGTCCAGAAGGACCAAGGCAGGTGCATCACCGTACACTATATGGAGGCTGATGGAGCCCAGTGGCTGCCTGGGCAGGGTCATCAGCAGGGATGACATCAATGGACAACTCAAGGAAAGAGCAGAGCTGGCAGGATACAGGAGGGAAAAGCTAGCTGGTCCCATCCACTGTGGGCTCCACCATCTCCCTGGCAGCACCCTCCTAACTAGCATGGGGAGGGCTGGATGGGAAAGGCCTGCCTTGGCACCTGGGAGTGGTGCCATCTGTACCATGTGCCTGCCACTGGCATTTGGAGGTGAGGAGAGAGTTCTCCTGAAGCCCCAGCCAGGGCTGGACCCTCAGGGCTCCTCCAACAGCTCTAGGGGGTGGTCACAATAGCCCAACCCCCATCCCTTTGCCTTCACGGTCAAAGGCTCTTTGTCCCTGGTGGCAGCTGCTGCCTGGCTCTAGCCAAAGCAGGTGCCACCATCTGCAGAAGAAAAGAAGTCTGCTGACGGACATTTGATGACCATCATCACATAGCATTACTATGCGTGCGGCCCTCGGAGCAGCCAGGGGCAGGCTCCCTGTTTCTCAGTCTTCCTGTCTATAAAGGGAGGGTATCTAACCCACTGGGCTGTCTTGAGGTAAAGAGGGTTCCTGTGAGTGCTTAGACTAGGACCTGGCACACAGTGTTCAGAGAAAGAGCCACAGCATCAATATTCATGGCACCTTCACTCCTGGAAAGAGCCAAACTTGTTTGTTGGCAAAGCCAGGTCTGTGGGAGTAGGGTCCTGGGTCCCCAGTGCAGGAGGCATTCAGTGAGTGGATACCATAAAGGAGGGAATTGTGTCATAAAAGACTTTAACGGTTTCCTGCGCGAAGCAGGGAGGTCAACAAACCCTTTCCCCAAATGCACTTGTAAACCTGGACAGAACAGTCAGAAATGGCCATTTCAGCTTTCTAAAACACAAGCAAAGGTAAACAAGAAGTATTTATTCATCAAAGAGCTGACACTGTAGTCCCAGCTACTTAGGAGACTGAAGCAGGAGAATCTCTTGAGCCCAGGAGGTGGAGGCTGTGATCATGCCCTGGCACTCCAACCTGGGCAACAGAATGAGACCCTGTCTCAAAACAAAAACAAACAAGCAAAAAACAAAAAGCTGAACTTTGCGATAAAAGCCAAAATTACTCCACATAAAAGAGCCAGGAGTTTCA